AAAAAAAAAAAAAAAAACAAAAAAAAAACTTGTACATGTTAGTTATAAAATCGATATAAGTCTTAATTTTTCTTGTCAAAATAATAATATTTTATTGAAAATTTGAATATGAACTATTTTTTAACATAATTTTATTATCTAGATTTTTCTTTCTTTAATAAACTTGTATTTTTCTGATCTAAGCATCTTAATGTTTAATCAGACAATAATAAATACAAAATCTATACATATTTTTCGTAGGTAAAAGACTATCATACTTAAAAAAAAAAAAAAAAAAATTTATGTTCATAACGACACAAGTAACAAAATGTATCAATACGTGAGAGGCAGATATAACTATTATTTTTCATATTTAAAAAATATATAATCATTGATTTTAAAGTTATAATCAATTATTATTCAACTATTTTTTACTATAATTAATTTGATAATATACATTGCATTTATAATTAATATATTTTATTAGTTCATCAGTAATTAAAAATTCAATCAAAATTAACTGAAAAATTCTTTGTTATCAATAAAAATTTTATATTACTAACGATAATGAAACATCATACTGTATTTGTGATTTAATTTATATTTATTGTTTATCGGTTCTCAAGCGTCACATAAAAAACTGTTGACTTTTTGGTAAATTTTATTTAACAAGAAGTCAGAAATCAATAATTATTCAAAATATTAGAAATCAATAATTCAACAAAATATTACCAAAAAAATTTTTGTGCCGCTTGGGTTACTGATAATTTTTACGAAATTTAAAAAATTTTTATCAATCTTAGTAAAGTTGCGAGTAGATGCTACTTTCATTATGATAAAGGATTTTTAATTGTAATTATTAAGTTTTGGTTTACAAAAAACGCACTCTAGATATGTTTATTATTTGTGTTTTTTTAATTAAGAGTAGCATACATTTAATATACAAACAAAAAACATTTTATACATTTTCAGTACACATGTTCATGAAAAAAAAAAAAACATTTTTTAGTTTTTCTACAACGTATCATATTTTGTATCTTTCATTTGCTTCTAGTAGCTACTATTACTCTTCACATTTTATTTCTACCGCTTTCAAATTTTTCAATTACTTCATCTGAAAGTCCGCACAAAAATATTAATATTTCAATATTTATTATTTAAATTTAAGAAAACTTAGAAAATTAATAATTTTTATATGTTTTTTGGCTTTATTGATTTCAACATTTAAATCTTAAAAAATCTATGCAATACTTGTTTAAATGCGCGGGTATCATTTAATATTTTTTTGTTTTATTTACTCCATATTAAGCTAATCAAGCAAGCTTCCACTCATTTTCGTTCTCTTGCTATTATCTTGTTCCACTCAGTAACGTTTTAATTTTTTCTAGAAATGTAAAGAGAGCTTAACATTAGCTTTGGTGCTCGTCGTTAATTGTTTAGATAGCAATTATTGCTAAAAATAAAACATTTGAGCAATAATAATAGAAACGTTTAATTTATTAGGAGCCGATTATCTAATAATATTATTATTATTTTATTTCTCACTTAACGTCAAGACATTGTAAATTCAAATTTAACTGTCAAATACGATCATTTAATAATCTATTACAAATCCTAAATTTTTCTCTGATGATTAATAGTAGAATTTACATAAGAACAGCTGCAATATTGTTTTCTTTAATTAAATTAATACACGGAAAAATTGAAATCCGACTGGTTCGTGTTCTGCACCAGACTCAGTCAGGTGCTGCACTAGACTTATTCGGGTGCGCACGCGACTCAGTCTGGTGTAAACTTATTTTTCTTCAATTTTTTCTTACACACGACTGAGCCTGGTGCAGAAAACGAACCAGTCGAGTTTCAATTTTTCCGTGTAGATTTTCTGATACATCACAAAAAATTTTTTTTCTACGTTGTTGAAATAAATGAGAGTAAAAGTTATACATTGTAGGTAGTGATCATTATTCCAAAAACATAAATATTTATTGCATTGAATGTATTGAATACTCTTCAATTAAAATGAAAGAATTTTTATTCAATCTATAGAGCTACAGAGAAAAATTTATGGATCATTCGTTCTTCAATAAATAATTTTGAAGGATAATTATTACTATTTTTCAGTCCCCACAACATCCTTGCGGTATGTCAATAACGTAATTTTTATTTTCTATCTTTGTCACTATACACGGTTGCTTTATCATGTTTACCTCACAAACATGTAATTTTTTGGTTAAAAGACATTCTCTGATACCATGTACAGTGACAATTTTTGATGAGTAAAAATATTTTTTTAGTTGAATTATTTTTTCATAAAAAATATATATTTTCTTTTTTGTGCCACTTGGAAAGTAACAAATATTCTTTAGAACGCCAACGTTGCCATTTTTCATTACTACATAAGAATCATCTATCTTCTCGCACTTACGATAACTGTCTGAAGTATATCTCTTCCCATTCAAAATGAATCTATTAAACGACTTACAGTTGTCCGATAAGTTCAATAGCTTTCGTTCAGTATCATTTAATTTGTAATTTTTGCCTTTTCCAATTAACGTGCAACTATCCACTTTGAAAGCATTTTTCAGTTGTCCAGTTAAATTTCTTTCACAAAATTTGACAAAACCGTCACTCAACTCAATTTTATTTTGGAGTGACGACAATGACTTTTGAAATAAATATCTCCTTGCGATTTGAATATCAATGTTTTTAGGACTTTTTTGCAATTTGAGAAGAAAGTGATTTTCATTTTCAAAAATGAATGTGTTGTGATAACGCAATGGGCCTAAATTTAGAACACTTCTTTTCAAATGTAACAACAAATGAATATTGTAGATCATCGCTCCTTTTCCAAAATATTCTTGATATAATGCGACATATCTTACAATTAATGAACCAGCAATCTGAAGATTTTTATGGTCAATTTGTTCAGACAATAGAATGCTCATTGCTTCTACTAATAGCGCTAAATGCTCTAAATATTTCTCAGGAATAATTCCCTTAAGACATATTAAACTATAAAACAACAACCACGACCTCCATTCCGATGCCTTCCACATATCTCTTTCTGTTATTTTTCTCGGTGAGCGCGTTATACATGTTGGATGTTTCAAATTGAGAAGTCTCGAATTTATTATTTCAAGTTGATTAGGATCACCAGCATAGTAGTCTTTACCGAATGATGAAAGCACTATCTCGGTGTGTTGCTTTATTGCACCTAACAAAACCGCGTGCATGTAGTCCGGTGACATACCATCAGCAATATCAAAATGTTTTAAATTCATCAACGGCGATGGTCCTAAGACACCCATAACAGGTTTGCCATATTTATCCTCAGCAACACGTAACATGTTATATTTTATTGACTCGTTCGTTCGATCTTTTGGAACAACAGTAGATATCGGATATTTCTGACAATTATCAACTCGTTCTGTAGGATGTTCACAGAATGTACACCCATAGAATCCATTATATTGTCTCATGTTCAAAATTTTGCATCTGGCCACTGAATCAACAACAGCACATAAGGGAAAAAATTTACTAAATATAGTTTGATCTCCTAACCTGTATTGCACACCTTCATCTGATAATTTATTGGCTTGTTCTACAAATGGTTCTAAAAAGAGAAGCATATCTGGTTCTTCTTTATGAACCCACAAACCGATTATAATGATATGCTTCGCTTGTAATTTTAAAGGAAACTCATTAATTGTTGCATAAATAGGCCAGATAGAAAGCTTACTCGACTTCGAAGGTTGACAACCGTCGGTATTAAATGTGTATGAGAAATTGTGTTGATCCGATAAAGGTTTGTTTGCTGTTGATAAATTTTTATACAATTTTCCATCACTCATGTTAAGTAAAGTACTATTTCTGTGTGAATTATTTTCAACATTCTCGAAACGTTCGAATAAAAATTTTTGCACTTCTACATCTTCTAATATTTTTTTCAATTGTAGTGAGGCATCAAGAGTCAAAAAATAAGAAATATCTGACGAATTTTCGTTATTTTTGCAAATTTCACATATCAAGTTTTTTTTGTCTAATTTATTTTGAACACCGAAATAATGTAAACATTCTTTACAGAATAAATGATACGTAAGAATGTTTTCGTTCAAGTTCAATAACTTGAATAATTTAAATTTTGAAGCTGGCACTACTTCTTCACCCAATAACGTATTTATCAATGATAGAATCGCCGTAATAGTCTTCCATGTGAGAGAATGTTCTGCTCCTAACAGAAGTGTCATCAGTAAGGCTTCCCCTCGCGTTACAGTTGTACAATTACATAATGGCTTGCGATAATCATCACCGTTGTCAGACTCATTATGTTCATCCTGTGAAATTACAACAATTAAAAATCAATCTTTACATTTTCTTGGTATTTGAACTAAATGAGAACTAAATCATTAACTGTAGCTAATACAGTTATCCCTATTATTGATTTTATTCAATTATTTGCATCAGTATAAGTACCCGAGTAAAAATATATAGGAATTTTTCTAAATAAAGCTCTAACTAAACATTAAATAAATATCAATGCCACCATGTAATTTGCTGAAATGTAATTCTGCAAAAATACTCATTATTTCAAATGTCGAGATTATTTACGTCCGTCAGCAGAAGAAATTGTCGAAAATCAAAATTTTTCTTTGATTGATTTTTTTTTCATATAATATCTTGTCATAGGTTTTAAGTTATTGAGCTGATGATGTATGTTTTAAGAAATGAATAAACTAACAAAAAAGATAATGTGTAAATATTTACAAGTAAGGTCCACCATTTTAATTTGCATTTTCTTAAACTAAATTTCTATTTTAATTTTTTTGATGTTTTCTTTTTTAAATATATAAAAAAAAATAAACAATTTAAAATAAAAAAGTTGATTATCACAATTTTAACAAATTTTCATGAAAATTTGTAAATTTTTTTGAAAATTTTCATATTCAATTTTTTTTTTTAATTTTTTTTTAATGTATTTTTCAAAAAAAAAAAATATATCAAAAACATCAAAAAAAGATAACAGAAATTTTCTGCAAAAACGTGAGAGCCAATACTTTTGAAGGCAAAAAAGCTATCGAAATTTTTATTTTTTTCTTTCACGACATTTTCTATCATAAATGCGCCGGAAAAACAAGCAGAATAAAAAAAATTTGGAAGTGTTAAGTTTTTACCTAGATATGACCAAAAATAGGATGGACCCCATTTGTAAATAATACCATTTCCACATACTCTAGAATTATTTTTTTTTTAAATCGTTTTTTAATAGTTATTTAATAATAACGAGAAAAATAAAAAATACGACTATCTGATAACTTTACAGTCTACGAAAGATGAATTTTTTTATGCGATCACACTTACTTGATGAGCATCATAATTATAAATTGAATTTAAATCTCCAACTGGCGGCGAATCTTCAGCCTACCAAAGAAAGATTTATAAACGTTAATTATTTTATTTTTTATTTTACTAAGTTTATTTGCTTACGTCAAACCAGATTTCTTGTTCCAAAGTTTGTTCGTCATATTCATCATAAAGCCATGAATTTTGGTACACATTTTCCACTCCGTTGTTTTCTTGATAATCCGATAATAATCCATCTTCATTATTTATAGATTCCATAATTAATGAATTTTGACTATCAGTAGTTTCTGCATCTGGTATTGCACTTGTAATATTTTGTTCTTTCATATCTTCTTTATTTAAAAGTTTATTTGTATCATATAAATTCTATAACACATAAATTTAAAGACATTAAGTTAAAATATCGAAAATACTTGTCAATATTGTGAAGCTAAAAATTGTTTGAATCTTTAATAATATTAATTATAACAAAGTATAGAAACATGAAGCTTGAGTCATACTCTCGGAGAAATACAAGAAGTAAAAATTGATCCAATTAATAAAACATCAAATGTACAAAAAAATAATTTTTTTAAGCGTTCAACTATTAAAATTGAGCACATGTGCAATAAATGTTTTAAAGAGAATACTCTGACATCATTATTATACTGGTAATTTAAAGCTGCGTGATTCTTTGAATTAATATATAACCATTGCTATTGGTAAAATTTGTAGATTTATCAAAGCAAACAGTATTTAATTCATTTTATTCATATAAATACAGTAGCTAAAAGAATTTTGAAGCTTAAAAATTTTAGTTTTCAGGTTTTAAAATTGCCTGTACAACTCTCGGTTACTTGGATATACTTAGTTGAGGACAAAAAGATTTCATCATTAAAAATCGAATATCTTCGTGAGAAATTGATGCAGGGAAAAAGTAACAATACTTAAAATTTTAGTTACATGGACATGTCGTCAGGAATACACTTTGGTTTAGCTCGAAAAAAATTTTTCAAGTCCATGGACAGCAATAAAGATAAAAAAATAATTCCCAAAAAATTTTTTTTTCAGAATTTTTTTTAGGATTGCATAACAAGCACAGATTCTTAAAATTTTTAGTCAGGTGATCTGAAAATTAAAATCATTATGGGCCAGTTTTTCAATCCGAGATAATAAAAGATAATAAAAGCTCCTATTATTGACAGGGCCCCTATTATTGACATGTTGTTTTATTTTATTGATTATTTAATTAATTTTATGATTAAATCACAATAAACATTGCTTTTTATCAATTTTTAGAAATTTTTAAGTAAGAAAAAAATAAAATTTTATGCCTGGGTATTAATTATAAACTGCAAAAAAATTTCATTTTTCCGAGTAGACCACTACGGCTAGTTTATTTAAAATTTCTTAACAATTTCGCTAAGAGAGAGTCTATTTTAAATAGCGAATTTTTCTATATAATTCTGATATAAGCCTATCATCCAAAATTATTTGAGGTTTTTAAACTTTAAATAATCTTAGATTTATTGTTTTAAGCTGATAAATTTTAATTATATAGCGGATTTGTTTACATGTTGTCTCGCGTAATTTTATAATAAAAAAAGAATTGTCTGAGCAAAATATTGTTGTTTACTAGTAAATAATAAATTATATTCGAAATTTAAATTTCAATTAAACTTGAATAATAGGGTTGACACCTGTCAATAATAGGGTCTGTGGGTGTCAATAGTTGGCTCCGATACCATTTCACCCTGTCAATAATACCTACACTTGAGTTGCTGATTTCAAATTAATATATTTGTCATTTAATTAACGACTATTTAAGTATAAAAATAAAAATACACAAGTTGATGAATCAAAAAAAGTGTCGTATACAAAAAAAAATTAGTCAGATTAATTTGGATACGGTTAAAAAATTCATATGTTCCCCGTCCTTCTGATAGTGCCAATAATGGGGGCTCTTACCTCACTGCCAATATAATAATGAAAATAAATACTTCAGCAAAGTGATATTGCGTACGAGTAGTTCTTCCTGAATTCAGCCACTTATTTTTAATTAAAATAAATAAACATTAGTCGCATGTCATAAAAATATTAATCTCCAACTGTGACAACTTGCTGATTGTAAATAAATAAAATAAGAATTAGGAAAACGGATAACCCTGAAGGCTATCCCTGCAACTTTCCGCTAATTCTATATATAAGTGCTTGAAATTTCACTTGTAACGTTACAATTTATGTGTTATTTTGAGCTCTTCGAGCTCAAAGCGGTAACTGTTCCATGCTTTTGAGATCTTCGAGCTCATATCTTGCGTTTGACATATCTATTATTAATCAATAATTGTGTTAATTAATTTAAAATAATTTCAATGACACAATAAGACATTATTATTATGTTTATGATATATTTATTATTTATTTAAATAAATGACCAAATTCATGGAAAACTAACTGAGAGCAATATCACGTCGCTAAATTATTTATTATTTTTTTTTTTTATTATATTGACAGTACTTTTATTTCGGATAAAATTTTATCCCGGATTGAATAACTGGCCCTAGTTTCAAAATGATTTTTTCCGATGCTTGCGTTGAGGCCATTTTTCACTGAAATATACTCGATCGAAAATCACCGAAAAATTTAGAAATTTTTTTTGCCTCTTGATTTCTGCAAGGAGTTAAGGTGTATTATACCAGGGAAAAATAATCTACTAAAATAAAAAATATAAACTATTGGAGAACGTCTACTCTTCTGTGTATGAAAAAATCCCACTAATCGCAATGAATATTCTTTTTATGTGACATTTGTTTTATATAGTAAAATTGATTAAATATAGTCAATACTTACATCATTTTTCAATCGTCTCAATTTCCGATAAAATGTAGAATCAGGCATAACACCATCACTGTCACCCTGCAAATACAATTTGTACGGTCCTCGTTTCATATTAAACGTTTCTATTTAATTACGGTAGAGGAAAATAGTTTGAGGTTATTTCAAATCCCAGACTTGATTTTTCTCATATGCTACAGAATTAAATAAAAAAGAAAAGATGCCTCTATGTAGGAATAGCTTTAGTTTTTTTATATTTTTTTTCAATTTATTTTAATTAATAGAATTCAATGTTAACATAAAACTGCGAAATGTAGTTAACGAGCTTACAAAGAAGTTTGTAAGTATACGTGGTAGCGCGCGTGGACTATATATAATATATAATATATAATATATTTTTCTTTCTTAGCTCTAACCATGTTCTATGGTTATGAGCCGGAGTGAGGTAGATCGTGAGTAGAAAATACCCCCACCCACAGAACCACCGACTGTGCGATGAGGGAGCCGAAGAATACTGAATATTTGAGACAGTGTGGCCAGATTGTGCGATTTTTTTACCCCCACTTTGTACCGCTTTTCAATGTAGTCAGATGAGAGTAGCCTACAAAGTGGGGGTAAGAAAAGAGCACGTTCTGGACACACTGATTTGAGATCAGCCGAGGTTTGGGATATAGGAGGAACAACAGCACCAACCGCTTACGGTCCCGAGTTTTGTATGTTACACAGTAAATATTTAGACTTTTTCAAAATGATATTACAAACAACTATTTTTGTCGACACTATAGTTACCGGGTTGTTTATTATTTTCATTACATGACTGTTATTATTATTATTATCCGATAAGTTCGTACTTTTATTAATATTAATTTCTTTTGTATTTTACATTGTAGAAAAACTATAAAATGTTTTTTTTTTTTTTCATGAACATGTGTACTGAAAATGTATAAAATGTTTTTTGTTTGTATATTAAATGTATGCTACTCTTAATTAAAAAAACACAAATAATAAACATATCTAGAGTGCGTTTTTTGTAAACCAAAACTTAATAATTACAATTAAAAATCCTTTATCATAATGAAAGTAGCATCTACTCGCAACTTTACTAAGATTGATAAAAATTTTTTAAATTTCGTAAAAATTATCAGTAACCCAAGCGGCACAAAAATTTTTTTGGTAATATTTTGTTGAATTATTGATTTCTAATATTTTGAATAATTATTGATTTCTGACTTCTTGTTAAATAAAATTTACCAAAAAGTCAACAGTTTTTTATGTGACGCTTGAGAACCGATAAACAATAAATATAAATTAAATCACAAATACAGTATGATGTTTCATTATCGTTAGTAATATAAAATTTTTATTGATAACAAAGAATTTTTCAGTTAATTTTGATTGAATTTTTAATTACTGATGAACTAATAAAATATATTAATTATAAATGCAATGTATATTATCAAATTAATTATAGTAAAAAATAGTTGAATAATAATTGATTATAACTTTAAAATCAATGATTATATATTTTTTAAATATGAAAAATAATAGTTATATCTGCCTCTCACGTATTGATACATTTTGTTACTTGTGTCGTTATGAACATAAATTTTTTTTTTTTTTTTTTTAAGTATGATAGTCTTTTACCTACGAAAAATATGTATAGATTTTGTATTTATTATTGTCTGATTAAACATTAAGATGCTTAGATCAGAAAAATACAAGTTTATTAAAGAAAGAAAAATCTAGATAATAAAATTATGTTAAAAAATAGTTCATATTCAAATTTTCAATAAAATATTATTATTTTGACAAGAAAAATTAAGACTTATATCGATTTTATAACTAACATGTACAAGTTTTTTTTTTGTTTTTTTTTTTTTTTTT